CCCTTGAGGGTACGCATTGCATCCTCATCTGTGACATCATCCCCAACGTAGATGACACGGATCCGCTCTAGCCAGTCCACTCCGAACATGGTTCGAAGGATATAGATGGATGCTCGACCCTTGGAAATGGGAGAAAGAGGATACTTAAACCCTGTCCTTTGCATGAAAAATTACAAAATATTAATTTTGGAACAGTTAAAAATCAATTAACTCACTTAACTTTAATTAATGAGTTAATTACATAATAATAATGGTAGGCAAGGAATTTTATTGATAATCACTGCAATATTTTGCAATTTGGGCAGTATTGAAACAAGATAAAAGTGCATGAAATAATAATCTGTGTAATAATTTCACGGCTTACCACAAGGCTATATGAGGTATTCCAATGATTCCTTTTTGGAGCACTCTGGGAATTCCTGTTCTCGTTAAATGGTCATATCTCATGAAGCACTTGAGCGCCAATATTCACTTTGGTGTTATTTGAAAGGGCAAAACGTTCACTTTTAAAGGAAATATTACAACTCTGGATTCATTGAGGGTCTACTACAACTTTTAGTCTATGAAATCGGTCAAGCTGTTCTATCAATTATAAACTTGGCACTGCCACGAGAAATAGTCAAATCTATTGATAATTAAGTCATTAAATGGCAATCTTAAATTTTTAACGTTTGAATCAGTATTAACTGCAATTTCCAAGGAATATTCCAACTTAAAGTCATAGAGGCATGATGCAAATGTTGGTTGTCAAAATCGGTCTGATTTCTCGATCAAATTGAATTTTGCGTACAACTGCTACAGTCATACCTCATGAACAGATTGAGTGCCAACCTTGAATTTGGTATCATTAGAAAAGGCATAGCAGACCCTTTTTAATGATATATAATAAGTCAGAATTCACAGAGTGAAAAGTGCAGAAGTGAGTCACTGAAGTCAAAGAAAGTGTTCGAACAAGTGGAATTTTGGCATTACAGGTGCACAAAAATATTCATATCTCATCAAGCCATTGAGTGCCAATCTTGAATTTGGTATCGTCAGAATAGCATCCTTTTAAATGAAATATTGAAACAATGAATTCGTGAGGTGGCAAGTGTCGATATTGGCCACTGAACTTGATCAAACAGTTTGATCAAGCGGAACGTCTTGTTTCAGCTGAGAACTGTGCCTGGAATCGATTTAAAGATGGAGATCTCATGATTAAAATGACACCAGAATGAAATTATATTCTTAACTAGAGGGGAAGTTATTGCAGAAACAGTTTCACAATTACAATCTGTATGGGCACTGGGAGTGAAAAGTAGGTCACATTAAAATGCATGCATCTGGAGATCTGTATGAGAGATTTAAAAAATCAGTTGAAATTAGTTTCTATACTGCAAATTGATTCCTTTACATGTGTGCCAATTTTCGTCAAAATCCGAGGTGGTCCAGCTCACTCACTGGTCAATTTGGCGTGGAATAACCCCACATTCAAAAGAAAGCCAAGCATACATCTACAGCAAAAATTAGTTAAAATTAGGATAAAACCTTACCTTGTCCCACTGGACAGGTGGCCTGGCTTCAATGGCACAATTGGCCTGATAGACTTTGAAGCCGTTCTTGGAGATGATTGCGGCTGCGCTACGCTTGAATGCACTTCTAAATTGGATTGGGACAGTCCGAAAGTGATAGGTCAAGATGGAACCCTTGTTCTCAACCCAGGCACCCTCTTTACAGCACTCATCCTGCAGCTGCCGACACATTCTTGTCATCTTCTCAAGGTATTCTTCAGGGATTGGTTGGACAAATTTGCTCCCATCAGGATGGAAGATCTCCAGGCCATCACTCCCAGCATAGGTGATGCTGTTGATCCCAACTGTCTTCCGTATGTCTTCCAGGTTCCGCCTAGATATAATAGCAATAGCAACGTCGCTGCTGTTGCTCAGCCGGACTAGGATATTCTTGGTCTCAGCTGGCATGAAAGCCATGTCTGGTTTTGATGCTTCAGGTGTCAGCGTTCCATCATAATCCAAGAGGAGGGCTACTTTCGCTGAATCTCCAATATAGTCACTGAGGACTTCATCAAAGTCATCCATTGTCATGGGACCCAGGGTCTTGGGTGCCAATGGTTCAATTTGCTCCTCACCAAAGTCTAGCTCCCCCATTGCCTAGAAAGATATAAGTACTTTTCAATTGGAAAGTTTCAATTCATGAATCGAGTTTGTAATTCTCATCAGAAGCATGTCCTTCCAATTAGTCCCAGACACAACAGTAATGCATGGCTTCGGAGTATAAAAACTCCAAAAAGGGGCTTTAAGGTGTGTGTGTCTTACTCCAGTGGTTCCCAATCTTTTTTTATTTTCTGTACACATTAGGACACTTGAACTTTCCATGGCACACCCATCCATTTACTTCCTTTCGATGGGAAACTTGTGCTTGCTTCGCTGAACGCAGCAGTTTGATACTTGGCGTGGTAGTGTAACTCTCAGCTCATTTGCCACTGAGAGATGGCGTTCTCTCTTGTTTTATTTAGTTATATAAGTATAGTTTTAAGTTTATTTAGTTAGAGTTTTTTAGTTTTTTTTTTTCAAATCTCAAATCATGCAGCACACTTAAGCCTTCCTGCTGGCACACCAGTGTGCTGTGGCACACCGTTTGGGTAACACTGTCTTACCCTATTGGAGGCCCTGCTATGATCAACATATTCTATCATTAGTAACAACGCTGAATTGAGAATAGAATTTTCCTTCTCTGGTGCAGGCAAGGAGTTATGAGTCTCTAAATCACCAAATCTTGAAATGCTAGAAAAATCATAATGTCTCAAAAACTAGGGCCAGACTTCACAAACCTAACTTGAGAGAGATATAAAAGACCATTAAGCTAGAGAGTTTCCTCCCCCACTTGAAAGGGACCTATATACAGTATTCTTAAAGGACCATCAACAAAAGGAGGTTTCAGCATTCAAGCTCAAGTGCTCATGCCACTGTATATTTGGTGAAAAAATTAAATTTCACTTGAGGGAAATCGAAGGAAATAAATGCCATTCCACACAATTACTGTCAAATTAGAGATCAGACAGAAATGATAAAACTTGTAAAATTTTTATCCTTTCATGCTGATAAATGAAAGCCTAAAAAATTAGAAATCGACACCTTTGACCATTTTCTCCTTTATACTTCCTCACAATATACTTGCCTATTGTAACACAATTTACTTATGTGCTGCATCTTTACCTGTGCCCTTCACAGGATTTCACTGCCAACTTTTACAGCACAGACAATTCCAAATAAAGCATAGCCAGTCTTTTCCGTCTATTCCCAAAAAAAGGATAAGCTGTGATTATTATAGTAACAATACTCCTTAAACACTATAACTTGGTGTTGCACAGGTGGCAGTCGTGTTAAGAGGTTTTCAACTCTGTTAAAATGCTGATAGTTGGTCAGGGTGAGGGGTGGAAGGCTCAAAGGAGTTCAAAATGGATTAACCTAATGGGAAGAAAATTCCATTCCCCCAAAGAGCAGTCAATCAGAGGAGTGGTCTATTCAAAGAGGTGGTTCAGAAGAGGGTTTCACTGCAAATCATGTGATCAACTCCTGTTGCCATGCCCAATTTCAATTTCAGAAATCCATCTGAGCCTTCCATGTAGGAAATACTTTCACCTAAGAAAACATACATAATAAACTGAGACAACAGCTCACAGTGTAAAACTTGACAAAGCAAAAGTTGTCAACAACAAAAAATAAACTCAGTGAAAATAAACTGATGGATATTTTCAGAATTAAATAAGCACCTCTTCCCTTTCAGCAAGTGCAGTGGCTTCCAGAACTCGAGGACTCCAATGACATCATGGCCAGGGAATGCCTTGATAGATACCTGTCACTTTGACAAAAGTATTGTCAATTTTTTTTTCAACTTCAGCCAAAACACTCAAGGGATATCAGATGAAATTCCTGGAGATTAAAAAATGGGATTGTGTGATTTCGCCTGTTAAAAAGCCTGAAGAATATTCAAATAGACTACAGTCAGAAGCACATATTTCTATCAGTATACCACTGAAGCTAATTCCTATTACTCAGCTGTCAAAAAAAGGGTTACTCAGATAATGATGAATGAGAAAATCATGGAAGCTCAAATCTAGTAGCATTATGAAATGCTGGGTTATTCAAAGATATGTCAAATATGGCTGTACATATGCCTTGTTAAGTGGAACTTCTGAATTCTTATAATTTTGTGCTACACCCAGCATCAATTGACATGATGCACCATGCAGAAGACTGCTACATTTCCAAGCTCATGCTTGAACCCTGCATAAAGCAGGTCTTGAATGCATGTAATGTTAAGAGACTGCAATTACTGGAACTAACACTATAAAATACTAGTATATATGAATATAAACATAGACTCATGGGATATGAAACATAAATGCATCCATTATCATCTTGCATCTCTATTGTGAAGAATGCAAAACATAAGGACTTTGCAAGGTTGCACATTTAAATTTCATTTAGATCTGATAATATAATCATGCATCAGCTCGTCTAATTTAGGCAATTATAGGAGACGGGTGCAACTGAGGGGGGAGGGGTTCAGGGGTTTGAACCCTCCCCCCCAAACCCCTGCTCATGATGGTATCTCCATACTTCTCTATTCCCCTCTCCCTCAAGAGTGGAGGGATGCAGAAAAATATGAGCAAATGACCTGAGAGCAAGGCTGGAAAGGCACAAAAATAGGAGGTCAAAGGTGAAGGTCATGCCTGTCACATGGAGCTACTCACTTTAGTGAACCTGTCAAGGAAACACCTTGCACATGTGGCGCTAATGAATTTTTTGTATGAAAATGGAAAGACGACTTAAATAAAAGGCCTGAATCATATACAGGTTAACTAATTTCCAGTTGCATATGTGAACGTGCGTGATGTTTAGGTTCATGTTAAGTCTTTTTTAGATATTGAATGTGCTTATATCATTTAGAGTTAAAATTCTGTGTCCACCATTTCATGAAAATTTTCAGCTTCATTTTCTTTGTTCACATGCTTGCACTGTTTTGTGCTTTTATTTTACCTCTCCTGATGAGTTGATAATGCCTTCTTGAATTCAGAGATATTTGAAAGACAGGTCATGAGAACTTTGAACCCCCACCCAAACTTTAGGGGAGGTTGTGCCACTGATAGGAGATACGTAGTAAGGTCCAGAAGTTTCCGGCCCGAACAAGTTAGAACATGAATTCACAGGTACCACGCCGGCAACCCCCCACCCTATGTTCTGTTAAGCTGCAGTTGAAATTTGGTAGCTCTACCCTCAGTAGTATGGATGCTAGCGTTGAGAGAAGACGTGCTGTTCCATTGCATTGGAAAATGTTCAAAATTGAGTATCATGCGATCATTAAATTTCTTACAAAAGAAGGTAAAAGCCCGGCAGAAATTAAACAACGTTTGGATGCTGTGTATGGAGAATCTTCCCCTTCATATTCTATGGTGAAAGATTGGGCTAAGCAGTTTTGCTTAGGCAGAGAATCCATTGAAGATGATCCTCGTCAAGGCAGACCAGCAGAAGCACTNCAGAGAATCCATTGAAGATGATCCTCGTCAAGGCAGACCAGCAGAAGCACTCACTCCCGAAACAGTTGCATTAGTGCAAGAGGAAGTGTTACAGGATAGAAGACTGAAAACAAAAGAAATAGCAGCAAGGTGTGGGCTTTCAAAAACCAAAGTACTTCGAATTCTACACGATCATCTTGGCATGAATAAAGTGAGCACAAGATGGATACCAAAACTCTTGAGTGCTGTCCAAAAGCAACGACGTGTTGAATGTTGCACTGAATTTTTGACGCTTTGCGAAGGACAAGAGAAAGAAGTGATCGAGTCAATTGTCATGGGAGATGAGACTATAGTTCTGTACCATGATCCTCTGTCTAAAAGGGAAAAGATGGTGTGGCGACATCCTGGATCACCACGGCCCAAAAAAGCAAAGGTGACACAAGCCCAAAAAAAGATTATGGCCACCATTTTCTGGAATTGCCAGGGAATTCTACTAGTTGACTTCAAAGAGAGAAACATTACGGTCACTGGCGAATATTATTTATAGTTAATGCATAAATTGAAGAATTCCATCAAAGAAAAACGCCGAGGAAGGCTCTCACAAGGAGTGAGGTTATTGCACGACAATTCGCCGGTGCACATTTCTGTTGCTGCAAAGGCTGCTATTCAGCACTGTGGTTTCGAAGAACTAAATCACCCACCCTAAAGCCCCGACCTAGCCCCTAGTGACTATTTTTTTATTTTCAAAATTGAAGTCTGATTTGCGTGGAAAAAAATTCGCCAGTGATGAAGACGTGATCGCTGCAGTCTTGAACCATTTTGAGGACAAAATTTCAGAATATTTTTTTAGTGGAATAGAAAAATTAATTCATCGTTCTAAAAAAATGTATTGAAATAAAGGGAGATCATATTGAAAAATAAAAATGGTTGTTTAATTTTATCACATCTTTTACATCCTTGGGCCAGAAACTTTTGGACCTTACTACGTACCTTGAGCACTGGAAGATGAAGAGAAAAAACCTGCTGGGGTCCTTTGCATGCATTCTAATCATTACTAATTCCATATTATTGTAGGATTTTGTGCAAAACATGTTTACCCATTGTCTCAGTCAAGTGAAATGCTACAAAGAAAGCTCACCTTGAGGAAGGAAGTGAGCCAGAAATCCACATTCATGAACTGCTCTCTCTTCTTCAGGTGATACATACGCATCTCCTGCTCATCAATGGGCATGGTGAGAGCTCGATGGAGGGTATCAGCCACATCATCCAATTCGTAGGGATTAACGAGCAGGGCCTCGTGCATTGTTTCCCCAGCCCCAGCAAAAGGAGACAGGATCAGCACTCCAGGCTTGTCCACCTGACAGGCTACGTATTCCTTGGCCACCAGGTTCATTCCATCTCGAAGAGGGGTCACAAGTGCCACAGATGAGTCCCTGTCAGAGAATATACAACTGAGGGATCAAGGTGGCAATATTTAGTACCTCCCCCAACCTTTATACTTGTGCTGCCTAGTGAAAGTAAGCATGCTATTACAAGACAGAATTAATACAACAATCATTCATCCCCTGTAATAACCACTTGGTGCAATGAGCCAATATTTTGCCCCTGGCCCTGGTTGTACAAAAAGTGCCACAAAACAAAATTTTGGATCTTGCTGCTGGTTCTTTATAGGTTTGACAGAGGGTAGTGTTAGGTATACCCAGTGTTGGGCAGTAATGAAGTAAAAGTAGCGTGTTACAGTAACTAATTACATTTTTCAGTAACTTTTAAGGTAACGAGTTACTTTTTAGGGGAGGGCAACGGAACTGGTAACTAGTTCCTTTTTCATGAAAAATTATGTGGTGTTACTGTAACGCAATCCTTTTCTTGACGATTTACTAAATTTGCTGAAAACAGCCAGCGCTTCATGGCCACATGCATCCTAATTGATGCAATATTGGGAGGAAATACGGGGAAATGAAATTGCTTGGAGAAAACATGGTTTGCTCAGAGCAGGTTTCTTGGCTGTACCTGCAAAAATATTTCAATGTGCAGGTCAGAAACGAGAGTTCCTTCTATGTAGTGGCGTATTTTACGGGGGTAGCTGCCCCCAGGGACCTCTAGGACAGCGCCTAGCCCTACCTCAGAGGTAATATTTTTCTTTCCTGATATCTCTCAGGTGACCTTTGACTCTATTGCCCTGCCGCCCAGCCCCGGCCCCCCCCCCCCACCCCAACCCTTCAGTCAAAATACGCCACTGCATCGATGCAAACTTTTGTGCGAAGTGCTCTATGTTTACTGATGGCCAAGGTACTTTCCATACCTTGATGCGGAAACCTTTCGTGCGCTTATCGTTGGCGCTTCTCTCCTCAATTTTTTCCGACCCCCCCCCCCCTTTAGGCTCGGCGGGCGGGTATACCCTAGCTGCCTCTTCATATTTCATTCCCCCTTTTTAGTACTCTCCCAACAATCCATCATTAGTAAGACTCCATTAATACTCAGGCCTAGCACTTGCACTTCGAAGTGGAGCCTAACCTAATGAACAGTGATTTACATGTGAATATGTACCACTTTCAACAGGAACACCTCAGTCCCAATTCCCCATATTTCATGGTTGAAACACCCGCATCTCCTTGGAGTGTGCCATAAAAATACCATTACATTGTAAAAGTTAGTGAAAATTATTTTTCAATCACTGTATAAGCTGGATTTATGCAGTCCAAGTCTGGTTAAGGGAAAACAAGAGAACATGACTTGGTTTGTTCTATTTTTCTATCTGGAACTCATGATAAGGGGCAGGCTGGGGTAGGCTTCCCCATCACCAATGGCAAAATTGGCTTTTTTTTTAACTAAAGGGTTCATTCTGTCTATCGGCGTATAATTCCTGTTAAGTAGCCCATGGAAAGGGAAGAAGCACAGGGAAAAGAGTGAGCATTAGTATTTATCCAGTTAAGTGATGATCATAATTCAATTTTCATGAAATCAGGAGTAACTTTCGCTTTCAGTCCATGCATCCTGCTTCTGTCGAAGAAGTGGAGAAGCTGCAGAAAGATTGGAATTTTTTTTTCAGGAAAAGTAACTTAAAAAGTAACTTCTACTTGTAACTAGTTACTTTTAGTGAAAAGTAATTCTACTGGTAACTAATTACTTTTTGGATGAAAGACCTCTTTCTAAATATGCAAGGCACTAAGAGGGTTAACAATCACCTACAATAAGATAAACTGGATCGAATTACTGCATTTTCAAAGAATATGGTGTTAGAGAAAAAGAACCTTTAGCAGGGAAATTTACTTGACATAATCCTTGTGAATGGCCATTTCATCCCAGCCATTAAAGAACAAGGCTTTATTTATTTCCAAGCTCAACATTATAAGGGCAAAAAATGCTTGCCAGTGCTGCATGACATACTGCCATGAATGAAACCAAAATAAAGTTTCCATACTAACAGTAATCTTTTATGGTAGGGATGGTCTTTAATTTCCATTCTGATGTGATTTCAGCATTGTGGAAAGGGTAGAGGAAAAAAAAAAGTATTATAAAAAAAAAAATAAGTAGGAAGAAGGCTGAAGTCAAGAAAATACTCAACAGAAAAAGAACTCCATGTAGAACATAACAGGGCAACTAATTAATTTCTCCATAAAATCCCCATTCTTGACCAACTTTCTAATCAATCTACCAAATCAGGTGACAAGCCCTCTGATATCTTTGGGCTTTCTAGTTACTTTTACATTCCTCTTGCATGTTTTGTGGCACCCAGTTACAGAATATATGAAGAAGCACTGAGATATATCATCTCTTTCATCATTTTTCACAAATATTCCTATTAGGGACCTCTTAACAGACCAGTATTTCCCAATACAGCTACAACATTTTCTAACGAACACAGCTCTCTGTACCCTGAGAGTCTGAAACTACCAAACTGAAACCCAGTCCCCTTTTGAAGCAACCCCTCCCTGGCACTGGCAACAATCAGTAACATGCTCACTCCAGTAAATCATGCCTCAAACCTGTAATAGGCAGCGAGTTCATGCTGTGAAATGCAGCCATAGATATATCGAATAGGGGACCAATTCAGTGTGGAGAAGCGCCCATTGATGCGTCCAATCTCCAGGTCTATCTGCTCCTTCAGCTGTTGGTACTCCTTCACGTCTGTCCGGGAAGGGACAGCCACCTGAAGCAGTGTCACCTCTCCCAGGTGCTCAGGATGCTTCTCCAGCAATTTCTCAAAGGATCGAATTCTGTTCAACAAGTCATGCTTTCCAGTATGCCCCACTCATGACAAGTTCTTATAGAATACCATGCTTCTTTCACATCTAATGACATTAGTCCATATGAACCGCACCAAAGTAGTACAGATCTAAGTGGCCTTTAAGAAAGCCTAGAGAATTTTGATGCAATTAAAGGCAGGAAATCAACTTGGACAATTGTGGAGTAAAAGGATGATAGGCAAACATAGATGTCACAAGTTTCATGAGAAGCCATTCCTCCATCATTTTCCCTCTTCTGTGCGTCCGATGTCTTTTTCGAAATTGGTTGTTCTCCCAGATTCTTTCAAAGTTTGTCTAAGTTTAAGTCCTCACAATTGACTCACAAAAAAAAAAGAATGTGGGCCACTGGCTTGAATAGCATTGGCTCACTCTGAAAGATGTATCAACACACCACTTTTGCCTTTGTTATTCATTAAATATTGCATTTGCGAAACAATTTTAAAAATTCACGAACATGGCAAGGTCAACCACAAAAAAGGGCAATGCTTGAAGTTTTGAACAGTCATCCCAGGACAACTTCACTCGTCACATTGAAAGTTTAAAAACTGGCACGTCATCTCATTTTGAGTTTCTCAAGTTCCTTTCTCCATCTGTTAATTAATTTTAATGTGTTAATTTGGCTTCTATAGTAGTTTAAGCACTTAAGACAAATAGCTTCATTTCATTGGAGAGGTATATTTTTATCCAAGAGATAAATCAAGCTGCAACAGAAAATTCTGTGGCACTGTCAACCAAAAGAAAGCATTTTTCTCAAAATCCAGAGAATAGAAACATCACATTGGCATGGTATTACTAACAAGTGGATTTAATCACATCTCCCTAAAAGCAGGAAGCATTTCATCACTGGCTCTACTGGCCGTGTTCAAGCTTTAAAATCTAACAATATGTCTTGGAACTCACCAGGGCACAGCACTCAAAGTAACCCAGTGTGACCCAACTTGTGTGATAATAATTCTATATATGTCCAAGTTTATCAAATTTGACAGAGAGGGACCCAAAATTGTCAGGTACTAGCTGCAGGTCTAATGGGCCTAAAAATTAAACATCTACAAGAAATTTGGAAAGAGCATGACCTGACCTCAGTTTTCCATTATTCAATACATCAAAAAATGGCTGTTAACAACTTGTTATTTTACTGGTTTTCTTTTTCAGAACTATTTGACTCAACTTGAATCAATAGGTCATTTTTGGTGAACTTGGGGAACTCCTTTCAAGTTGTTTTTCAAGTTGATATTCTAGCTGAACTATTTTTTCAAGTTAATTAAAGTTGTACCAAGTATCAAACATGCTCAAAAGATCCATTTCCATCACTTGAAGAATATTCGACTCAAGCTGAACCACTGGATTGATTTAAGCTACCTAGGGTCACTGTGGATAACACCAGGTCAAATAAAATAAACTTGGAGTGCCATAGGATAATTAGGCAGAAGGTGGCTAAATAAGTAATTGATGCAAACTAAATAGAACTTCAGTCAGATCAAAGACCAAACTAGAAGACGAGCTTGGTTAGCTTTTGGTCTCTTGTTTCGTTTCGAACCCTTGTACACCATTTTTTTTTAGATCAAACATAAGAGGGAAAGGCTGCCATCATTTCTCTCGGTTAGGCAATAGCGAAAAAAAAAAACTGTATTCCAGCCACGATGTCGGCAAATATCAGATCATTAGAATGTGAAGAAAAACAAAACCTATTGACGAGTCCCTTGGTATAGTCGAGTCTGTCGACCCCAAGGACGATCTGCTGGGAGGATTGCAGTGCTCTGGGCGCTGCATTGGCCATCTCCTCGAACCGCTTGTACGGGATCCCGATCGGCAGAGCCCGGACCTTCACCGTCCTCCCTGCCACGTCCACCAGGTTGTGGACTCGGTCCACCCGGCAGCCCAACCGCCGCTGGCAGCAATCCAGGAAATTCCGACAGTAGTCTTCGATGTGGAATCCCACCAAGTCGTTTCCTGGAGGGATGGTAATGTTTCTGAGTCCATGCAGGATATGCGATGACGTCACATCACATCAGCGCTTGTGGCAGAAATGCGCTGGGTGCAGGTAGGAATTTTAAAGGGACAAATTTTAGCTAACTTCTTATCATTGCCAAATTCTTTACGACTCAGAGCCAAGGACGAGCTATCACCACGCTGCAGAAGTTAACGAACTGGAATCTGCCGCAAAAAAATTGCTTACAATGTGTACACCTGGACAATATAGGATACTAAATAAGGTATCACTGTTATACTGTATATTCTACGAAGCAATAGGCACTATGGAGCAGAGTTTTATCTGCATTGATGCAACTCGACCCCATTCACAAGGGCTTAAAGCACAATAGAAACATGGTTGCATTGGTTATTGGTTTGTTTTATTTAACCTATACCCCGTGTATCAGTTTAACAGAAACCACTACGTTGCTCCGGTTTCACTTGCTTACAATCCGTTCGCGATAAATCTCAAATCGACTCAAAGCCGCAAAGGAATTAAATATGCGAGAATATGCGATGGACCTTGTCTAACCAAAAACGGGTGCAGGTAGGAATTTTAAATTGAAAGTTTTAGCTAACTTCCTACGGTTCTGACTTATTTTCGATTCAGTCAAGGAATATGTCACCACACCTCAAGCAAACGAACTGAAATCGCCTGGAAAATTTGCTTCCCTGTGTATCATGCTGCCTTACTAAATAGGATACAAAATAGGGCAGTGATGCACAGCCCATTGTAAGCCTCTAGAAATCATTATTAATATGCGGCCTATTTCGGCTCATGTTCGAGGGCATGCAACCCACGAAGAAGAGCCAAAATCTTAATTTGGCCCTTTATGGGGAAAAAGTTGCGCACCACTGAATTAACGTATCATTGTTACATATTCTACGATGCAATAGGCACTATGAGGCTTACGACAGATGTTCTCTTTCCACAACTTGACACGAGACAAGTTTCATCTGCATTGATGCAACTCGACCCCATCCACGAGGGCATAAGGCACAATAGCAACATGGTCGCAATGACTATTTTATCTTTTTCCCGACGTAACATCCCGTGCATTTATTAAACAGAAGCCACTCCATGTCGCATTACTCCAACTTGGTTATACTCCGTTCGCAATCATATCAAATTGGCTTCAAAGTCGCAAAGGAAAAAAAAAATTGGTGGACCTTGTTCAATAGAAATCGAGGTCTTCAAATAACCATTTGTAACACGGAGATAAAATGGAGAGAGGTGAGGAAAATTACAAATAGAATATTCTCACCTAGGATTCCTTGCAGGACCTCGTCGTCCCAGGGGAAGAGACGGAATATATCCCAAGATGGGAAGGGAATGTGGAGGAAGAATCCCAGTTTGCATTTTATATTCTCCTCTTCGCATTGCTAGTGTGAAAACATGCAAAGAAACTCAGATAGAAGAACCGAACTCTCCCCGAAAGCGTGTAGCCAGTGGCGGACTTAGGGGGTACCGCCCCCCCCCCCCCCTATAGACAGGTTCGCTTTTTTTTTTATTCATAAAGCACATAAAATAATTTTTATTCGGGCCTTTGAAATGGATATTTATGTTTTTACCCCAGACGTAAAATGAAAGAAGGCCATAGGACGGGGGGTAGTGGTAGATGAGGGGTGACAGTATTTTCCTGGATTCCCAGAATCTTCAGCTTCGTAATGGCCTCGGAAAGGAGGATCCTGGCGATCCAGCATCCATGTGATGCCACAGATTTCTCAGCACGTGGCGATTTTGTCTGAAAATTTAATTTCTCCTTGCTTGTGATATACGAACTGCCTCATCGATGGCAAAGTCATTCATCATGCTCTCTTTTCCAGTTTAAGTTTCACAGCACATTCTACATATACCCACTACATTCGTTTTCTCGTGACGATCCAAACAGCGAGGATGGTATTTTAGATCACAGCAACCGAAATGAAGCCAGGTGTCCTTTTGCGAAAATAGAATGCATAGTCAGCAGTACAATTTTTCATGCACAAGACTTCCTATCAGACACTCAACTTTTCTATACGAAGATAATGAGAAAATTCTCGTCTTGGTCTAGTCCTAAGAAATAAGCACATTCTCCAAGTTCTGTTGGGGCGATCTTGTTGGTTAATGAGCAGTCGCTCCTGGAAAAGCAAGGGACTACATGGCTGACGGAGGAACCGCACCATGTCGGCACTCAATGAAATATATACAGGGTGTGCCAAAAAAGGTAATTGAAAAATTTTTTTTTTCATTTCAGGTCAAAATTGGAAATTATCATAGGGATGGGGGTGACAGAAATGATGAACCTGAAAGTGATTGATGTGATCTCAACGTATGCGCACCTTTTTGAGCAGTTCAAATGTGCGTATAAATATGTAAAACCTTAATTATTAATTATATTGTATTGAATAGTTTCGGTTACCTTTTTGGCACACCCTGTATAAATCGAGACTTCCAGTGAAGAGATAGAGCGAATCGCATTCTGTCAAATTGATTTGTATCTATCAAATGAAGTTCCCACCTTTTGCCCAAAACTTCAACATAGAAACACAAAGCTCACTGAGTAGCATAATAACGAGAAAAGTATATAATTGAGAGGCAGGAATTTTGCATTATCGGTACTGCCATTGGAAGAAACGGGCAACGCGAATTCCAACATCTGACTATCGTTCTACTTCCCGCTCTTGTTGCTTACTACCGAAGTGCGAGCCATAGCTTATGAGCCAGTCGTCAGCCTCGCAGCAACCAGCACTTTCGTCATTCGAGCCTTGAGGCCTGCCTCCTCCTCCTCGCAAACAAAAGCATTACGTGTGCTACGGGATACCCCTTTGCTTTGTCTATGGGGCAAAGGCTTCTCGGCTCTGGCCTCCAGGAGCTGATTTTCCGCAGAATCAACTGCGAGAGACCGGATTTCGCTTGTCCTACGTCAAAAGAAAGTTCGCCCCGAGTTTCTGAAGTATTTCATATTTTACTCTGAAGTGCTCTTTATAGTTAAAAAAAAATTCAGAGTAATTTATGAAAATTTGTAACAAATTTCTTGGGGGAGGCCGGGCTTACCTTGCCTCCTTTGATGAGCCGTCACTGCTTTCAACCTTGCATAAACTCTCTGTATGAATCCAAACACAATTAATTGAAACTTCATTTTCCCTTTACGCGTCCCTGCATTTAGTTAACTGGAAAAATTCGCGGAACGCCAATTGTTGTAGATACCGTAAGTGTATTTCGGTAAAATTGGATAAAACCCAATACGAGCTCCGGGAAAACTCCCCACTAAAGGGGTTAAAGCAGTGATGCACAACTTACGGGCCGCATGTATCCCGCAGAGACCTTTTTTGCAGCCCCTTGGATGCTTTGCATTCTCCATATTTATATGCGGTCTATTTCAGTTCATGTTCCAGGGCCTGCGGCCCTCGAATCCCTCGAACATGAGCCGAAATCTCAATTTGGTCCGCTAGGGGTAAAAGGTTGTGCACCACTGGGTTAAAGTAATTAAAACTAGCTTCAGGAATTCTCAGTCCCTGCATTAATTTGGTACCTGCATTTCGATATTCATGCATGAATAGTCTAAAAATGTGCGTTCGAGAGTCCTGCAATTCAGACTCACTGTAACTTAGGGGGCGGAAAAATGAAGAGTTGAGAATAGTTCAATAAGCGGGAGAACCAACAAACATTACCAGGGAAAAAATGCGATGCATGCAAATCGTGACCTTTGACCTCAACTCATGGCTGCGGGCGTGACCTGAGAGAGCCAGCAAATTGGTTCCAAGGTCCTTTGTCGAGGTCCCCTACAATAACTGTAAAGCGAAACCTTAACCCTTTCAGACCTGGCGTCCATTCCAATGGACATATGCATTTACATTGTGTCTATGGCAATTTCTTAGGATTCTCGTGACTTTGCCCCCAATATTACGCTACAATGGGCGCAATTATGCCCGGGGAAGTTCCACCAGAGGCCTTCTTTTACCCATTAGTTTTGTAATCTTCAGTTATTGAATCAAATGTATAATATATATGGTATGATATGGTAAATTCATACAAAATATAAAAATTACATATAAAGTTCGAAATTTTCAATTACAATCATGAAAGAGCTCAAAAATGCAAAAAAAGGATATTATACCCTTAGCGACCTTAAATCAGGTCTGAAAGGGTTAAGGAATGGTGGACAGAAAATTTTGGAATGATCTACTGTAGTGGCAAAGCTTTGTGTTTATGCTGTTCTGAAGCGTTTTCAGACCAATCGCAAAAACTTACTCGCCGTGATGGGGAACAGGTTTAGCATATTGCACGACAGCTGTGGAAGTTTCAGAGCCAATCTACTGCATTTCACAAATTTCTGAAGTGTATTGGCTGCAGCAAGCTTCAATGTTACTAAATGTATTGCACAACATGAAAAACCAATTTCTAATGAAAGCCTCAAGCTGCCATGTTGACCTGTGCTGATGTTCTCTTTCAAGATTTTCCAGAAAAAGAGAAAAATATTCAGAGCATTGGAGTAATGCCTTCCAGCCGGAACACCGTCGAGGACAGGAGGGTGGTGCTCACGAATCCAAAGTGAGCAGCTCAAGAGGGATTTGAAAAATGGCTGCTGTGTTCGATGAAAGCGCTGACATCAGCAAGCACGCGTAAATAGCAGTGATTGTTCGGTATGCTGCTGGTGATGAAATGCGCGAGGAACTCGTGGAACTGATAAACCTGCCAGACACAGGAACATTTTCGGTGCCGTGCAGAAAGAATTTCCATTCAAACTACAGGCCTGGCAAAGCTTGTTTCTGTTACGACTGATGTAGCACGAGTGCTACGTGTTTGACTCTGGAAACGACCAAGTACTAACCCAGGATTGAGAAGCTATCGAAAATGCACTCCATTCGGGGTGGAGACAGGCACCTTTATTTCCCTCTTATATTCCTCTCAGATCAGGTTTAGATTTGATAAAAATCAGCTGAGGCGAGTTACTGGCCCCCAGTTTTTCAGAAAACTGTAGGCCTCAGGGGACAAACCGGAACGCAAGTGTCTATAAACAAACGAGAAAGACAGGCAACAGCAGACGAATTGGTCCTCAGTGCCAAGCAGAAAGAGGAGAGAAGGAACAAAGTTAATCTCTGACCTGCCTGATATGATTAGCAGCGAGCATGAGGTGATAATCGTGGATCCAAACCAAGGGGATGCGCTCTTCACCCTTCTCCTTCTCCTTCTCCTTCTCCTTCTCCTTCTCCTCCTCCTCCTCCTTCGCCTTCAGCTTCTTTAAGGCATCCACAGTGTGGTAGGCGAACATCGCGTTTACCGTCGAATACGCCTGTTCAGCACGCACAGATTTTTTTTTTTAGCATTCTCAGTCCATGTATGCGTAAACCACATGACACCACACACCACACCACACCACACCACACACCACAAACATGCTCAAGGATACACATTCGATGTTTGTACCTAGTCTCTAGTATTCTAGTCTCTGTACCTGACAATTCGCATGCCTCTTGCCACCCTCTTTTTAGCAGTAGATATTCTCAAAATTCTGCGCAAGCGTCTGTCGATACCCGAAAGGGCCTCGGAAAGTCGGGGTCATTTTTTTCGTCGCCGCAGAATTTCCCTTTTAACGGGAATTTCTCGTGATGATAATATTTGTTCCGTAGTCTCCCCACCCGTGTTGCCCATTGCCCAAAAATGCGATACATATTTCTATCGCATGCCACAGGGACTGTTTTGATATCCGAAATAACTAACGGTTTAGCTGTCACGCAGAAAACTGCCAAAAGGATACAATTTTCACGGAATTTAACATTAGTTTTCAAACCGATACCTAGAAATTTGAATTTTAAAAATGTTTCCATTCAGCTCCTCCAGCTTCAGTTTTTTCTCCAACGGGAGAATTATTGCAAGCATTCATTCACTGAATCGTCAATTGTTCTCTTCCTCTAGGTCAGCGGTTCCCAGATTTCTTTGAATTGCAACCCCCTTGCTGACGTACAGAAAATTTTGCGACCCACCGGAATCCAGAATGAGATGTTTTCAAAGTAATTATGATGTTAAGAAAACTGATCGACCTTTCTGCAGGGCATGTTTTATCCTAAGCTAATGTGGATAGTGATTTTTTATAGTTGGAAAATGTTCGCGACCTACCTTGATGCCTCTCGCGACCCACAGTTTGGGAACCACGGCTCTAGGCCAGGGGTGCACAACTCAAAAAGGCTATGAGGGCCATTTGCGATTTTTACGCACCTACCGGGGGTCGCAGCCTGACTGACCATAGCTGGAGCCAACAGGGCAAGGTCCATAGTAACACAAAGAACTCCACCAGCCACAGCAGGCCGCATGGGCCCGTGGGTCGTACACGTTGTGCACCCCTGCTCTAGGCGCTTGAACCGGGAGAGAAGGTCGAACGGATCGCCGCACGCGGGCGCTACGGAGTACGCGTGCAACGCCGAGTGGAGGTGCCTACGAACATACAAACCCGTCAATCCGCAGGAACCCTCTGTCAACCCCGCAGGAATGACTCGCGGGCTTCGGCAGTCAGCCGACCGAGCCTCTACGCGGAGAATCTCGGGCGCGCCAACCGCCTGTTGTGCTGGGTGACACGACGCAATGCCCAGAATCCTTCGCTTCCTACCCATTTCTGGAATCTCTTGAGAATGGTCTCGGCCATGTGTAAGGCGTATCAACGAGTACAGAAAAAAAAACTCCCTACTGACAGTTGAAGGCGGACAAGAAAACCATTTAAAAAATTGGACCCGTCCTCATCAGACGGGATCCCTTACCTCCCACATGTCCGCCACAAAGACCGCCCGATCTGGCATGGAATGGAAGAGGGGCCAGAAAGTGGCATTGCAGCATCCGTTGTAGTAGTCGTCGAATATCTGCTCCTCCACGTGGACGACTACGACCTGCAAACGGTGATGGAACGGTCATGGCATCTGAGGATATCCCGCATAAGGCAAACCACAACTTCTCGAGCACCCATATCGATCAAAATAGTGACACAATAGGCAGAAAATACCGAATTATGTATCAAATTTATTCTTGATATACTTTTTTAATGTAGTAATGTGAAAACCAATTTCAATGGTTTACCTTTCTTCAACCCAACCTACCTTCTCTACGGAATTCACTAACGTTAGGCCAAGGCCTAATCGACGGACTGTCGTCGGCTCAGGCCTAGGCCCGAGCCGACGACAGTCAAACGTGTTATCACGTGTAACGTGTGAACGTGTAACATTAGACCATATGTAAGTCTTTTACGAGTTTCATGAGCCATTTCGGTGCGGTCGGGGAACATTAGCCCTATCTAGAATTCCTCGAATCGTCTCGACTCGTTCTGAGAAGAAAGTGCCTTTAGAAAGCATGACATGAAAGCTGGCCGCCATCATGTTAATTTAGGGATGTCCGAATGAGATTTCTCCGTATTCCACCAGATTAATCGGCCACTGCAAAACACCGCTTCAATATCAGCTCATCCCATGAATTCAGCACATAAGTGCCTCCTACATTGAAAAGAGAAGGTCCGGACAACGAACCTAAGGCTGATGAAGTCATGAATCTGGGATAACAAAGGCACAATATCAGGCAACACTGGAGGACGCTCTATGGACTGGACCCATTGCGCTAAGCTAAGCCATTAACGGTATATAATTTCATTTTTCCTGGCGAAATGGTGCACTGAAACAAAACAAAAAATACTTTTTGTCACCTCCAGGTCAATATCTTTCGTTCGGTTGGCATCGGAAAAGGCGTACCGCCTTTTACAGTCGCATCTTACATGGCAGTTATGGTCACGTTGATGGTGAGTAACCTCATGAGAATATACCATGAGATACAAATTTCCTGATGTAACACAGTTTCTCTTAGGGTAAGAACCATTACATTACGTAACAGAAATTTATTCGGGTAAACGCAAAAAGTCAATTTCCGGAGTTACAGTCGTGAGGAACGTGCAACTTTGGAATAGACTCCTATTTTCCATAAGTATGCCAAGAAAGCTCCAAAAATTAGGCACTTAATGGTGAATCTTCGCTCCCCTCCACAAACCAGAATAGTTTCTGTGACATAGGGAAGTAATACCTGTCCTGTGTCTTAGATACAGAGGGAATCACAAAGTCCATGCAGATAAAGTTCTGCAAACAATCTCCTAAGAGAGTACAACCTTTTAAATCTCTAACGATTCCAATGAAGCATGGAGAAGCAAATAAAGCTTCATTGAAAATTTCCTTCGAAATTTCAAAAGAGATACCCCATATACGAAACTTAAAGATGCAGATGAAAGGGGCACCAGACCCGAAGAGTGCATTTAGTTGGTTTTTAGGAGATTATCAGCCTTGCTCTTTCTCGTCTTCTTCCCAGTCCGCTTTCTTTTCCAGGCCTTCCTGCAGGCCTTTTTCTTGATCACTTATTAATGATAGCCTTTTTTTTATATCCCTCCTTATTTGAAATTTTCCCTTCCGAATGTTGTTTACTAATTCGAAATGGCAGAACACCTCTTGTAACGGCTTGTTCCATCGATCCTGGATACCTTTCTGACCATCGTTCTTTAACTCTCTAACATCTTTAACTCTCAAACTCTTGGGGATTAGAAGAGGTCCAGCCTTCTGGAAACTGAATCTCTCTCTATTCCTATTGCTGGATGACAAAAATTACTAAATTCACCCTTTCAGTTGTGGGAATTTCTCAAGAGTAGGATTCGAGGCGAAACTATCAGTTACACCACACACAAAGAGAAGTCAAGCAGGGTAGAAATCAATGAAGTTACAGAGAATATTCAGTTTCTACATAGTCTTCTGGCCCAAGGGCCTCATAACGAGGAAACCCAAAACAGCTTGTAAGAGAATAGACCATAGACTGGACCAAATTAATCAGTGAAAGACCTGCAGGGGCGGTGGCAAGAGCCAGGGTTAGATGTGATAAGGAAGGGGAGCTGCCCACGAAGTGCTTTTTCTCCTTAGAGAACCGGCGTGCAAAAGAGAAATCGATGATGTGCGAATAATTATAGACCAGGCAGAAATACAGAACTATAATTATTCCTTTTACAAATCTCTATGAAAATACCTCTACAATAGTAAAGTAGAACACGAACAGGATACATTTCTTTCCCTTAATATGCCTAGTCTGCCCGCAGAAGTTAAACATTTAGAGAAAGAAATGCACAAACACGAAATCCAAGAAGCCCTGCTTAAAATGCCAAATGGTAAGACACCCGAGATTGATGGCTAACCTGCTGAATTCTATAAGGTTTTTGGGGGAACATATTAGTGATTTGATTTTGAAAGTTTTCCAGGAAATTCTTGGTTCTGATCATCTACCACTTGACATGCGACGAGGATACATATCTTTAATTCCAAAGGACAAGAACTGCAGGTTTATCCACAATTGGCGTCCTATCTCGATATTGAATACAGACTACAAAATTTTAGCAAAAGTAATGGCTAGGCGGTTAAAACTAGTTCTACTCCTATTGATTCAACCCGATCAAAACGGTTTTGAGCGGCCGATACATCGGCGAAAATACTTTATTAGTTATAGAGGCTACGGCGAGGCACAAGAACGGTCAGGTTTACTTTTTTT